AGGAGGAGGAGGAGGAGGAGGAGGAGGTAAGGTTGGAGTTCGGGCTTGGGTTCGGTTTGGGGTGGGGGTCTTGAGGGTTGCTGGTAGTGCTGGTGGTGCTGATGCTACTGCTGCTGGCACTGTTATCGTAATCCGAGGCGGCTGCGCTTGCGCCTGTAGGTGCGAGTCTGTGCTGCGTTAGCTACTTGCTCTTCATCCGAGCCCTAACTCATTATAAGCAGGGGCGAGGCGAGGCGACGGGACTACCTTACCTTTCGTCTCGACCATCTTCGTCCCACTCTCCTCCTCACCGAACAACTGGTCCTCCTTCGACGGCGACCCAGACCCCAAAGTCCCAGGGTGGCGCCAGTGCAGGAGCCGGAACTGGCCCCGCCGGCGTTTTCGGGCCCGGTAGATCGAGTACAGCACCAGGGCGGCGAGGATGAGGAGGGCGAGGATGCCGCCCACGACGCCGGCGATGAGGGCTTGGTTGATTCTGTTGGGTTGGTGGTGTGTGGTTGTTGTTGTTTTTGTTGTTGTTGTGGGTGTGGTTGTTGGGTGGATGGTGGTTTGGTCTGGGGTTGGGGTTGTTGTATTGGCAGTGGTAGTCGCGGGGTGCGTGGCCGCTGGGATTGTGATGGTCGATATGGTCGAGCTGGATGTCGATGTTGAGGTGGTCTTGGTCTTGACTTCGAGAGCAGTGCTCTTCGAGGTTGAGGATGTCTTGCTGGTTGTGGTATCACTGCGACTACTGCTGCTACTGCTGCTACTGCTGGTACTGCTGCCGCTGCTATCATCCGCACAAACCCCCACAGTGCATGGATCGACCGAGCAACATCCACTATACCCCCCTTCGCACAGACATACCACTGGGTATTCTCCGGACAGGAATCACTCGCAGCTCGGACGGCGAGGGCGGCCATCGCGGTGATTCCCTGCACTGCGCTATATTTCGTCTCAAAGAGCGGCTGGCGAACACAAGAACAAGAAAGAACAAGCTAGTGAATCGCGGTCCGGCTGGCAGTTGAACGAGTCTTAGCCCAAGAGCAGCAAAGAGTAGAATCGCCGGACAGCAAAGAATGAGCGAGGCTGAATCTCCAGGGAAGTCAGCATGAAAAGAGGTCTACCGTCTCCTAAAAAGTGGCAGTGTGCAGCGGTCTTTCTTTGTTTCATGGGATGACTGGTAGGACGGCACCAGCCAAACACCCCGAAACAAACCGCGGGTTGACGGTGGTTGAGGTTACTCGGCAGGAATAACACAAAGAAAACTCCATTGTATGGCAAAGTCAACGGCTATAAAAGACAACACACGTGAGTACACCAAACTCATCGCCTGGAAAAACCCTTGGATATACACATATAAACACACGGAAATAGACACGGTCGAATTTTCGCCTCGCTCTTTTCGTTCACTTCCCTCTTCTCACCACCCCCTAACCCCCCGGGACTCAGATGCGCTTAGTACACACGCTTGAAGGGAGGCACAGGCTTGCACTCGTTCTCGTCCAGGGTCTTGTGCTCAACGGCACGGTAACCCAGCTGGACGTCACCGTGGGGCTTCTTCTGCCAGGTGAGAGTGTGCTTCATCCAGTTCTCGTCGTCACGGTCGGGGTAGTCCTCACGGGCGTGGGCACCACGGGACTCCTTGCGGTTAGCAGCAGCAATGGCGGTTTGAGTACTATTCCAGAGTTAGCCATGATCATACCGAACAAATCCCAGGGATACGTACGCGCAGGTCAACAGGTTACGGAGCTCAAGAGTCTCGACAAGGTCGGAGTTCCAGATCATGCTGCGATCCTTGGTGCCAACCTGGTCGTACAACTTGTCGACAGCAGTGATCTTCTCAACACCCTCATCCAAACTCTCCTGGGTACGGAAAACGCTGACATCAGTCTGCATAGTCTTCTGCATAGCGTTGCGGATCTCGAAAGTAGACTTGGGGCCGTCGGCGTTGCGGGCAAAGTCGAGGTCCTTGATGGACTCGGCACCGGCATCGGAGGCCAGCTCACGGTGGGCCTTGCCAGGGGTGGCGATGTCGCGGACACGGTGGGAGACGGCACGACCGAAGACGACCAGGTCGAGAAGAGAGTTGGCACCCAGACGGTTGGCACCGTGGACGGACACACAGGCGGCCTCACCGCAAGCATACAGACCAGGGACAACCTTGTCCTGGCCGTTCTCGTCAACGGTCAGAACCTCACCGGTGTACTTGGTGGGGATACCACCCATGTTGTAATGGACGGTGGGCAGGACGGGGATGGGCTGCTTGGTGACATCGACACCGGCGAAAATGGAGGCGGTCTCAGAGATACCGGGCAGACGCTCGTGGAGGAGCTCGGCGGGCAAGTGGCTGAGCTGGAGATAAATGTGGTCCTTCTCGGGACCGACACCACGGCCCTCACGGATCTCGAGGGTCATGGAACGAGAGACGACGTCACGGGAGGCCAGATCCTTGGCAGTGGGAGCGTAACGCTCCATGAAACGCTCACCCTCGGAGTTGAGCAGGTAACCACCCTCACCACGGGAACCCTCAGTGATCAGACATCCGGCACCGTAGATACCAGTGGGGTGGAACTGGACGAACTCCAGATCCTGGTTGGGGAGACCGGCACGGGCAACCATGGCCATACCGTCACCGGTACAGGTGTGGGCAGAAGTGCAGCTGAAGTAGGCACGTCCGTAACCACCGGTGGCCAGGACGGTGTGGTGAGCCTTGAAGCGGTGGAGGGTACCGTCCTCCTGGTTGTAGGCGATGATACCACGGCACTCACCATCCTCCATCAGAAGGTCGAGGGCGAAGTATTCGATGAAGTAGTTGGTGTTGTGGCGGAGAGACTGTCCGTAGAGAGTGTGGAGAAGGGCGTGACCGGTACGGTCAGCGGCGGCACAGCAACGGTAGGCCTGGCCACCCTTGCCGAACTCCTTGGACTGACCACCGAAAGCACGCTGGTAGATACGACCATCCTCGGTACGGGAGAAGGGGCAACCGTAGCCCTCCAACTCACGAACACTAGCAGGAGCCTCTCTGGTCATGTAGTGAATGGCATCCTGGTCACCAAGCCAGTCGGAACCCTTGACGGTGTCGTACATGTGCCACCTCCAGTCATCCTCGTGCATGCTACAGGCCGAAGGTTAGCCGAGTTGCGAACCTGAGAAACCTCCATAACATACTTTCCAAGGGCAGCGTTGATACCACCCTGAGCGGCGACAGTGTGACTTCTCGTAGGGAAGAGCTTGGAGACACAGGCAGTGTTGAAGCCAGCTTCGGCAAGACCGAAAGCGGCACGGAGACCAGCGCCACCGGCACCGACGACGACAGCATCGTACTCGTGGTCCTGCAACGATTAGAACCACAATCATCACGTATAACCATAGATTATCCTTACAATGACAGGGTACTTGTCGGAGATGTAGCCATTGGCCTCCTTGGCGCGCAGGGGTCCGCTGCCAAAGATCCGGGCTAGCGGAGATGAGAAGTTAGCGAGAGGCGGAAAGGGATGGCGATGCGACTCCAATGCGTACCAGCAGGGCGGGAGGAGGAGAAGAGACGTCTCTGATCCCTCAAGGCGCGGGAAATCTGCGCAAGGATACATGTCAGTAAGATCCTGGAGAGAGGGTGGCGTCCTAACGCGCGCTCCAAATCTGGAGTCGAGTCGGACAGACATCGGATAGGGAACAGACCTTAGATGCGGGAGCCAGGCTCCGCCAGCTCAAGGAGCTCATGATGACGGATTAGAAGAAAAGAGACACTTCTCTAACAGATCCGGAAAAGGAGGGGAGATGGGGAGAGGATCCAACAGCACAAGTACTGGGGGAGAGAAAGTCGGGGTTCAAGGCTGGTGGTTTGCATGCGAGCTGCACTTTTGGATCGTCGGTTCTGCTGGAAGAGCGAGGAAGGCCTGGCTGACATAAGCATTTTGCACTTGCCGACGGGGAGGACCGGGGCCGAACAAGCCAATCAACATTTGTGGAGTGGTAATCACCTCGGGCAGTCAGTCTGCGTTCATTGGCCGAAATCTGTTGAGCACGTGGTCCGGCCCTCTTCTCACCCGGCAAAGCGCGAGACTTTCCGGAACAAGACGGCCGATTCCTGCCAGTTGACAGCCTGATTCTCTGCTGTACTTTCGGCATGAGCCTGAGGCAGTGAGCTGGAGCAGGAGCCGAGCCTGGCTCCAGGCATGAGTTTCTCCTCACTGCACTGAGACCGGGAACTAATTAAGCTTACTACTACCGATCTAGATATAAGCAGTTGACCTAGCTTGTAACCCTTGCTGATTGCCGCCGCTCCGGCAGGATCACCCAGAACTTGACATTGACATCATACAACAGACTACCGAGTTAATGATCATACGCATCCATTGCGTTTGTAATGTAATCCAAATACCTAAGAGTCGTCTAATTATACTGCATGTACGTCGCCGTCGAGTTGAACTTCAGGTTGCCCTTGATCACCTTGTCCACCGCAGCCAAGAAGTCCTTCTCAGTTGCCACCTTCCGACGCGCCCGAATGGCGAACATGCCCGCCTCTGTTGCGACACTCCGAAGCTCAGCACCCGTGGCGTTCGGGCATAGACGAGAGATCAACTCCCACCGGATGTCACGCTCGACCGACATGCTCTTGGCGTGAATGCGCAGAATGTTGGCGCGGCCCTCAACATCCGGAAGGGAGAACTCGATCTTACGATCGATACGTCCCGGACGCATCAGGGCAGGATCCAGAGTTGACGGCCGGTTGGTCGCGAACATGACCTTGATGTTACCACGGGCATCGAATCCGTCCAGTTGTGTAATTAGTTCCAGCATAGTACGCTGAACCTCGTTATCACCACCAGCTCCGTCATCGAAACGAGCACCACCGACCGCGTCGATCTCATCGAAGAAGATAATGCATGCTTTCTTAGTCCGCGCCATCTCAAACAGCTCTCGAACCATCCGTGCACCCTCACCAACGTACTTCTGTACCAACTCACTACCGATGACACGGATGAATGTCGCGTCCGTCCGGTTGGCCACGGCTCGAGCGCAAAGCGTCTTACCCGTACCGGGAGGTCCGTAGAGCAGAGCACCCTTAGGAGGGTCGATACCGAGGTTGACAAAGCGCTCCGGCGAAAGTAGGGGCATTTCGACGACTTCCCGCAGCTTCTCAATCTGTTCTTTGCATCCACCAACATCACCGTACGTCACATCGGGCTTGTCTTCGACTGTCATCATCGTCACACTCGGGTCGATCTTAGGGGGAAGAGGCAGCATAATCTGGTACTTGTTGCGGTCGACACTGTATCACGGTTAGATCTGAACGGGGCGGCAAAAAGACCACGGCAACATACCCAACTCTCATGCCCTCCTCGATATCTGTCGGACTCACGCGCTCTCCCAAGTTGACGACGAATTTAGCGATCTGTTTAACGTTGATGACGTATTTACTCTTGTCTGAATCCTTCTCATCCTGAATGATCTTCGTGCACCGAGCTACCTGCAATGGCTGCTCCTCCGCCATACGTTGTCGGTCTGCAGCAACATCCCAGAGATGTGGAGGCGCAAGGCCGGTATCGGATTCCTATGCAGGTCAGCAAGGACAACTCCAGTCAAAGGCCGAACCGGAATATACCTTAACACCAATCTTCTCGTTCACACTTGCTTGTCTCTCCTTGATCTGTTTCTCGAGCTTCTTCAATGCGTTGGCGTAGGGAGCAGCGCCGTAGGTCTTTAGTACTTGGATATCCCTAGTTCCAGTTAGCCATCGAGACGGGAAAGTCGGCAAAGTTGTAGCATCCGGTCCACCTACTCATCTGTGAGAGGAGTGATCTTCTTCTCCGGCTCTTCGTCATCGGCGAAGTTCTTCTGGTACTTCTCCCAGTTCTGGCCCGTAGCGCTAGGCATGCTGATGATGTGAGCCGGTGGCGAGGCGACAGGACAGCGTGGA